AAAATGAGACTGAAGCAGAATAACATACAATAGACACTCATTTAAAATATCTGACACTTTTTATCATCCATATCCCCTGACACTTTTGTCATGATCAACTGACAATTGCTTAAAATCTTAAATATGGATCTTTACAAGTGTTTTAAGTGTTTGTTTTGTACTGCAGGCCCACAACGAAAAAAATGTCACACCTGGAAGCAGGAACACGTCACTTCCTGTGGATTTCACCTTCTCAATGGAAAGAAAGAAAAAATAAAATAAATAAAAGAAAATTATAAAAAAAAATTCTGGTAACATTCTTTTATGTCTTTTTTTCTTTTTTAAATCTTTGTGGTTGAGATTTTGTGAGAGTTTGCAAACACTAATCATCATCCTCACCATTCGAATCATGGCACTGAAGATTCATATATATATATATATATATATATATATATATATATTATATATATATATATATATATAATATTATTATATATTTATATATATATACGAAAAAGTCACTTGTTGCGTATGAAGAGAAAAGAAAAAGATGGAAAAAAGGCGGAAAAAAAAAAAAAAAAAATTACATGTGAGGATGAGAGGGGATGTTTCAAAAGGTAAAAATAGATTCTTGTATATATATATATTTTTTGTATTTGTTCTTTTATTGTTTTTGTTTCTGTTTCTTAACTTCTGTAAGACCACTCCCCCTCCCCTTCTACTAACTCCTCAGAAGGGACACTGGGCTAAGGTCAATACCCGTATCAGGCGCATTCTGTCTTCGCCCTTTGAGCCCTCATGCAGGAGGATGTATTCCCTTGAGCTGTAGCCGAACTTCACGACGTCCTTCTCGAGCAATTCCACATACCGACGCGGCTCGATGCGGCGGTTGTTGACATACGTACCGTTGGCAGATTCAAGGTCTAGGATGTATGGCTTTACTGTGCGACCTGGATGGGAGGAATGAATAACAGTAATATATCAAACTTCTCAACTTTGTATCCCTCATTAACCCATTCGTCCCGGGTGTCACATATATGAGACACAGGTAAAATAAACAATGTCGGGCGCTGCCGCCAGTGCGATGATGTCTCGGAGCTGTGCTCCGAGGCAGAAGCGGCGTGTGCCGGGCGGGCGGACAGACTCCGGGGAAGCTCCGCCCGCCGATTTTGTAGCCGCCTGGATTTTTTAAATTTTGGCTACAAAATGTACCCGGCGTGAGTGGGTTAATATATCAAATAACAAATCAAATTGAAACTTGCCAGATATGTGAAAAAGTCAACATACTTTACACACTACTGGCTCAAAATTAACCCTTTACCAGGCACTCACTTAAATATTCATATATCTACATATATATATAATATATATATATATATATATATATATATATATATATATATATATATATATATATATATATATATATTATATATATATATATATAAAGTGCTCATATGGCCATTTACCCGATAAAGGGTTAAGAGGTGTGATTTACAGAATCTTTCATTTCTTCAAAGAGACAACCAATAGAAAAATGGTTTACAACAGACACACACACAAAGACAAATGAAGATGGAGCAGCAGGAAATAATTGACAGGCCTTAATGTCACATAAAACTAAACAGACAGACATGGAGATAAACAAGCACTGAGCTATATGATGAACCATCTGATAAAAGACAGACACTAATACAAGAGAAGAAAGAATGACACAACTGCTGCATGACTCTGAACATCAAATTCAATATGACATAACAGACAGGGCAGAATCACACACAAATTAATGCAGTATTACTTTAGAAAAGAAAAAGAAAGAAATAAAGAATGTATATGTAACTTATAATCTAAACCAAGCAAAATGAGCTATGACAAATAAATGGATAAAGAAAAAATAAATAAATAAATAAAAAAAATTAACACAATCCACAAAACCTTACCTTTCGTCCCATCTTCTCGGTTGTAGGTCACAAGTCGGTACTGGAGGACGGCATGTTGTTTGGAGCAGGACGGGTGGTCTGTTGGATGTCTGCAACTTTGCGGTCTCTGCCGATGAGGTAGGCACTCTGTCGGTGGAGCGGCAAGAACGGCAGGTCTTCTTCACCTTTGAATATATACCTAAAAAATGAAAGTGGGAGAGTCATTAAAGAAGAGAGTAGAATTCTCTTGTGCATGAATATTAGTCAATGACAGCAATTATAAGAATACATAAAAAGAGACACAGAGAGGGCAAATAAAATATTATTTCTCTTAAAATCTCATATATGGAACTGAGACAGAGAGACAGAAAGACTAAGACAAACTAACAGACACATGCAGAGACAAGGACAAGACCAAGACAAAAACAGACAAACTAAGAACTCACCATCTCCATCTTCTCTTGGGTTTCTCGCCTCAGGAGGTTGCGAATACTTGATCACGACCCCATTGTAGGTATTTGTGTCTTCGGTCAGTTTTCCTGAGAGTCCCATGTTTGGCTTCTGCACCTCCTCCTCCTCCTGGACATTGTCTTCCGCGTTCATCTTCACCCCTGCTCTCGCCTCCTCAACGTTGCCTCTAGATCTGGAAGAATCATTTTCACATGAGCAGAGAACCAGGAACGATGAATTGCCAGGGTTCCACCTACCATACCTGACATCGTAACCAGAAACATGTTAGGGTTTATTTCCCCTTATAGCCAGACTGGGTGCACAATCTGGAGAACTAGGGGAGAGAGTTCTTCGCCCATTTCCTACCATCTTATTCACAAGCAAAGAGGATCTAGAAATCTAAAATCACTTCAGAAATCTATTAATATTATTATGTTCAATACTCAAATGGAAACATTTTGAAGTTGGCCTTGAGATGCCTATCCTGGGGGAGTGTACCCCTCATGTAACCAAAATAAGAAGGATATTCAGGAGTGAGTCTGAGCACGGACAAGGAACACAAGCTTTTGAAATCTTGCTTGAATTTGTGTTCATGTATGGACACTCACATGTATACCTATTATGCACTAAAATCTAGGATACATCATAAAATTTTATAGAACAATGAAAAGAAAGAAAGAAGAAAGAATGAAAGAATAAAAAGAAAAAAGAAAAAACAAACAAGATGAAAGGGGGGATGAAGAAGAAACAAAAAAAACAGAGGAAAAAAATTATGCAAATAGAAGAATAAGAAGAAAAAGGAATCGAACAAGAAATCAAGGAGGAAGAAGTAGAACAGATGTAGAAAGAGGAGGAGAAGTACCTAAAGAAGATGAAAAGAAAGATAAAGGATGAAAATATGATGAGGTCTAAGAAGAAGACTAAGAAGAAGAAGAAAAAGCATGCTCAGGCACTCTACCCTACCTCCCATTCTCTGCCTGGATCTCCCTTGGTCCTTCTCGGCGATCCCTTCTCCCACCTTGGTCTTCAGCAAGTCTCCTGCCGTCGCGTTCTCTGCTACTGCTCCCTTCCTCTTGGTCTGGCTCTGCTTTGATTCTTTTGTTTGGGTCGTACTGTGGCTCATCATCGTCGTCCCACCTGCTCTTCACCTGCCTTTGTGTGCAAAAAACAACAATAATCAAACGACATAAAAATTAAATGCTCAAACTAAATCTTAAATATATCAATATTCATACACCAGGATATACATTATATAAGTGTATATATATGTATGTATGTATGTGCACATATATATATTATATATATATATATATATATATATTATATATATATATCTATATATATATATATATATATATATATATATATATATATATATATATATATACATACAAAGATGTATGTATATATTTACATACATGCATCATACATAATAATACTGATAAACTATTTACTGTTTTCATATCGTTCTCTATTTTTTCCTCTTCTCTTTTTACTTTTCTCTCCTTCTCGGCTTTCTCCTCCTCCACCCTCTCCCTGCCCCTCCTATCATCCTCTCTG